CCCCCCCCCCCCCCCCCCCTACAGGGCATAGATCAGCCACCGCTACTCACCACAGTGTTTGAGTGTATGTGTGAACGGAGGAAGCACAGAGCGATGTACTTGTTGATTACGCTGATGTGTTTCGACTGCTCTCCATGAAGTGATGGAGTGCAGTGGTGGACGGTTGAGCCTTCACCAAAGCGGTCACAACACAACTACAATCCCTATCGACTGTGATTCATTCTGCTCGAGTGTGTGGCTCGCTCTCTTACTCTTTTTTTTTTTTTTTTTTTAAGTCTTTCTCGCCCTTGATTTTGCTCTTTTTCGCACACCCACTATCATGCTGTACAGATGAATGCACACATGAATGTGACAGACTGAGAGACTGTGACTCACACACAGAAGCGTTTGTGTGCGTGTGTGTGTGTGTGTGTAGGGGGGGGGGGGGGGGAGAGTGAGTATCTCCATCGATCTGTGTCTCCTCTGTGTTTATTTCCTTTAATTTGTTTTTGAGACAACCCTCATTTAGTACTCAGTAGAACTGGGCACAAACATAATTTGTCTTTCTTAAAATAAAGATTTTAAATGTTTTTAATGGTGTTTGTTGTCTTAACCTCAATAGATCAAATGTGTGCTTTACTAGTAGATGTAGATGTATTTTATTGAATGCGTTTGCCCTTGGTGTCAGTAGGGATGAATGATCGGACTTTTTCTGATACAGAGTCTCGGATTCGATACCAGTGCTGCCATTTTTATGACGCGACTTGTTGTAGCTAACGGGATGTAACCGATGCACAACGCAATCCCACGCGTTGGATCGGTGCGTCCAGAGTAATCGTGAACGTCAAATAAAAGCACTTGACTTATTTGTATCTTCCCTGCAGGGACATCATGATCACTCATTTTGAGCCGTCCATCTCGTACGAGGGTCTGTACGGGGAGGTGAAGGACATGTGCTCCATGGACAACGACCAGCTCTTCACCATGAAGTGGATCGACGAGGAAGGTAATGAACACATCATGCTCATAAGCACACACACACACTTCGGCCCTACCACACCTAATTCCTTGTTGTCACTCAGTTAGTCAGGCGGCAGTAATGGTGTCATTGGAAAGATGGAGCCGTCAGACTGCTCTGCTCAGGATAAGGTCAGCCTGTCCAAACTCATTAGACTCAGACCGGCTCCCACAGGTCGCCACCCAAATACAATCTCTGGAGTCATTTGCCTGTCTGAGGAAGACAAGCTGTGCTTGATGGTCGTAATGAAGTACTCGAGCTGTCTCCCCCGCTCCATCCGTGGGAACCACATGCACACAGCTCCGCAATGTGAACTCGAATCATTAGCACGATGATTAAAGAATGCACCTGGGATTAATTACTACGTTTGTAACCCTGGTTTAAAGGTACCAAATGCCAGCGACAGGTCTGTACTTCTTGTGATCTGCTTAAAAGAAATCTGTAGAAGGAATGCTGCACTTACTGTATCTCCCGCGCCATGTAAACACAAACAACTTTTAATGAACTCTTAAACTGTGTGTGCCACAGGGGGACCTGTTCTGACCTATTTTAATGATCAATTAATTGTTTTTCTTCTTGTAAAAATGCCAAACACAGAACTAGCTCCAGAGTCTCACTTGTGAGGATTTGCTGCTTTTCTTTTTTTCGTACGTGACGGTTAACTCTTTGGGGCTTTGGACCGTTAATCAGATAAAACCAACAATTTGAAGAAGTGCAACTTTCAAACTGATGTCCAAATTTGGCTTCAGGAAGTTGTCATGAGTATATTTAACAATTATCTGGCATTTTATAAACGATTAATTGAGAAAATAATCGACAGATTAATCACTGATGAAAATAACTGTTAGTTGATTTATCACATGTATAATGATTTTGGCATATATACGTTTATGTATGTTGCAAGCAGTTGCAGCACAGAACAGGGATTTCTGTTTTTAAAGATGTTGTTTAAATGTGTAAATTGTAGTGAAAACAGTTCACTGAGCTTCCTGTTGTGGGGACATTTAGATTAGAGAGTGATTCATCCATAACTTCCTGTGTTTTCTCCCTAACATACATGGACTCAACCACTCACAAACTTAATGACTCTTCTGGAAACCATAACTTTTCAGAAAATTTATTAAAAAAAACAGGCTTGAAGGTTGTCTCGGTCCACCCACAAGTTCTAGTTCTTTGTCAACCTCCAGCGCTCTGTATGTTTTTACATTTACACCGTGTGTCACAGTTTCAGTTCCCGAGCTATTTTCAAAGTCCGTGGTTTGTAGGCGTGATTAGTTCGGTAGAGCGCTAAGAATACAATCGATGGCCTCAGTATCGGCTCTCACTGCCTCTCCGAGTGTGTCACCTGACTGTTAGTGATAAGGAAATAATTAGATCTGCGTCGGAGTGCTATTTTAATTATTTACTTGGATTGATCACTGTGCAAATAGGCCTGTACAGTTTTAGAAGGACGCTATTTGAAGTGGCAACATCGACTGCCACAGTTTGTTCTCACGTACTTTGTTAAATGTTTACTCAATGTTGACGTATTGCAAATCATATCACACCCACAACGATTGGACGCGTATTTATTTTATTATAAATGTCATGTTGCCCGACTGTATGACCCACCTTCTACACACACACACACACACACAACCGTTTGCTCTGTAACATACAGTATGTGTAACACTTAATAGTCTCTACTTTGTCTCGTGATCCTGTGCAATTAAAAGTAACCGGGTCATTGTCGATTTTCCGCAATTATCAGATAATGTCATGAAATTAAAACGCCGGTTCCCTTTATCGGATTTCTAACAGGGTTCGTAACATGTTTGCATGTGAAAGAACAAGGATGGGACCTGTCAATAGGTTACTAATTAGAGGAGGGGAAATAAAATGTGTTGAAAGCTTACACAGATGCAAGCACCTAATGAGGAGCACAGAAAAGGGCTCAGATTGTTAGCTATTCTCATAAAAACGTGATTAAAACACAGCTGGACGTTATCAGTTTGGCAGCAGTGCAGAGGTTTGTTATACTTCAGTGCTGCGTCTTACTTTTTCATCTTCAATTAATCTGCCAATTAGCTTCTTGAAAAATGAATCAAATCCTCACATTTGCGTAGCTAAAACTCAGCTTATTTGCTTTAAAACAATACCATAAAACCGTTAAACAGTTATTAAAATAGTACTTGTTAAATCAATCGCTCAGCTCTACTTATATCTACGTATATAAAAAAATTAAACACGAAGTCTGACTAAACCTAGTCAGACTCACTGCAGCGTCCGTCCTCTCGCCGCAGCGTCCGTCCTCTCACTATGCTGCCCTTCCAAATAAAAAATAAAAATATTGCCTTCCCGCTGCAGAGTCGTATCTCATTAGTTCTATCGAAGAGTAGAAATCTAATTCAAGTAACTGAGGTTTTAGAGAAACAAGGTTAGTTCAGAAGGAGGTAAAAACATTTGCTGCCAGTAATCTTTATTTATTTTATTGTTTTAATGTGGTGAATGACATCTCGTCTCTCCTCTGCTGTCAGGTGACCCCTGCACCGTGTCGTCTCAGCTGGAGTTGGAAGAAGCGCTGCGTCTCTATGAACTCAACAAAGACTCGGAGCTCATTATCCACGGTGAGCCTCGCTGCTTTTCACATAGTTACAGCTATCGCTTTTAGGATTTAACTCACAGGATGTTCTCTTGTGCCATACACAGTAAGATGTTGATTGACACCATGGGCTGGTCAGTAAGAGGTCCATATGAGAGAAGCCTGTTATCTTTTCTGCTCTAAAAATAGTCCTCTCGCCTCTCCGGTGAGCTTTTTATGAGCGGTCAAGTTTGGCGGCAGCTCTGTTTCCATTTCTGCTCATCGAGCTCCGGCACCGGCCCTCAGGCCGACACGAGGCATCCGGGCTGTTTTGGCAAAAGAAAAACTAGTCTGCTTTGTCGTTCGCTGCCTGCCAGTACTATTTAACAATGTGGAGATTATTTCACACAGTCACCTCGCATGTAAAAGTATCGACACCGTCAGTGTTTGGGATGTGGCAGAAGTCGGTTTGGTTATTAGCAAGTATGAAAATTACATTATTGACATTAATAAATTGTTAATATCAATAGGATTATTGACGTATATTAATAATAAACGGGAACCGCCCTGAGATCAGGGACCCATAATCAAACTGTGGATTAAGTCTCAAAATTGGTGTTTACTTAAAATGTCAATCGTCAAAGTACTTTCAAACATCTATTATACAATTACAAGCATACAACCTAACGGCAACGAGCAGAGCCCAAAGATAGCCGGCAGTCTGTCCATCTCACTAAAATAGACATTTATATTTGGTTTACTTGATGTCTGTTTGTCTGAAAATGGTTTGAGTGAGACTTCTGGCATTATGTCGGGCCACTCTTCCTTTTTTTTTTTTTTAAATGTACTCTGTGTGTTTACATGTGTGATAAAACCAGAACACAGACAGCCAGATTCTGAACACATCAAATAATCATCAAAGCACGGGGTTAATGCAGCGCTGACCCGTGAAACTTCCTTCTGCTCTCGGTGTCCGTCCGTGGACCCCTTCAGCTACTTCACATCCTCGTCTGAGCTTAGCCGTCTTGACAAACAGTTGCGCAACTTCGTGAGCCTAGAGGTCCTGGGCTAACTCAACGATGCAACACTTTGATTGACAGGCTCTGTGTGTGTGTGTGTACAAGCATGTAACCCGGGTGAAAGGGAACGGGGGGGTAATGTAAAGGTTTAATCAAATCAGAGGTGAGGGGTCAAGAGTGCAGTGGATGCCAGCGAGATGGAGGAGGATGAATGGGGGGGGATGACGGTTCCACGGGGGGTCGTCAGGTCTGCTCGTTAACGAGCTCGTCGGCTGTAGCCCACGCCTCGCCTCTGACTCACACTGCCCCCAGTCTAGCTCCAACCATCTCTCACACACACGCACACGCTCGAGTAATCTTTGTCTTTAAGATTGTGTCTAGTTATCACTGCGTGTTGCACACACACACCCACACACACACACACACACACACACACACACACACGCTTGTACCATCATACGAACAACATGAGTGAATTTCAGTGTGAATGGCTCGAGGCGACGGGTTTGCTACAGGTAGTTTTAACTGCTGTCATGATGAGAGGAAGTGAAATGTACCCGGCAGCATTCACATGAATGCTGTCAGACTCGCCTCCTTTAGATGAAATACACTTTAAAAACGTAACTGTTTGATGTTTTCTTTTTGCTTCCCAGTGTTCCCGTGTATACCAGAGAAACCTGGCATGCCGTGTCCGGGAGAAGACAGTGAGTTAAAACCCTTTCTACCAAACTAAGCAGCAGGGGTCCCAAAGGAGCTTATACTTAATTCACATTTTAAATTCTGGGGCACTTGAGCAGATTCATATACGCAGGAGAATTTCAAAATGTCAATGGTTCAGACTTACGGACTCTAATAAGGATCAGTCAGGCTTGAGTTTGTGAAACGATAATGATTTCAAAGCCTGTGGTTGTGTATCAGCCTGTTTAAAAAATGTTTAATGTCTATTAAATGTGTACGCAAATTATATCAGAAAGTAAAATGTTTTTTTAAACATCTGACTACAGATTCCAAGCAGAAAATGGTGTGAAACTCAAAGTTCCCACACTGTATATGACACTGAAGTTACACATGAACAGTTTAGCCAGAAGTATGAATTTCGGGACACAGGGCCTATATTTGTACTTAAAACTAAAATGTGTGTGCATGTTTAACTAGAGTGTCACATATAGTGAGAAATTATTTCTGAACATTATTTTACAAATCCAAAGTTGAGCCATACACTTCATGTTTATGTTCAAATTTACACCATTTAGAAAATGTAGTTTGATTGCGTGAGGGCGATGATTCCAGCCCCTAAAAATAAACACGCACTGGCCTTAGTTTAGCTTAGCCAGCAGGATGATAAAATACATTCACAATGTGGTCGAAAATGATACTTCAGATGAAAATGTGAAATCAAACTGGCTTTATACACAAATGCACATGGAACAGGTGAAGCAGGACTGAATGAATTAACAGGTGAATTACAGGCAATTTGTGGAGAGCTTTGAAGAAAGAAATCCATAAATGAAGTAAATTCAGCGTCCATTCTTCTCTCTTCACAGAGTCTATATATCGGCGTGGAGCGAGGCGCTGGAGGAAGCTTTACTATGCCAGCGGTCACGCCTTTCAGGCCAAGCGCTTCAACAGGGTGAGATGTGACTATGACTTTTGTTAAACAGTATTTCACACTGAGAGGCCATTCACTCATGTAATAATGTGTATTTCAGATACTTAACGTTATCATTGTCGGAGTATTTTAACCGGGTTAATAGCTACAGCGTTACTTGTAAAACCTTTACCACAATGTACATTGAGTGTATTTAAAGGAAAACGAGACATCCGTTTCCCTGAAGTAATTTCACTTTGTATTGATTGATGGAGTAACGCGCAACGATTTAATCGTAGGCTATCAGGGCTTCATGTTTCATCTCCTGCAATATAATGCGTGCTTACTTGTGGTGACGACGGTTCTTTGTCTGCCCTCCCGAGCAGCGAGCCCATTGTGCCATCTGCACCGACCGTATCTGGGGTCTGGGAAGACAAGGCTACAAATGCATCAACTGCAAACTGCTGGTGCACAAGAAGTGTCATAAACTGGTCACAGTGGAGTGTGGCAGACAGATGATCCAGGTGAGACGGACTCCTCACACTCATTAGCTTGATGGCGTTAAGTGGATCATTACCGTCCATGACTCGTACGTAGGTTTAAGATTGTATTCTGTTTTTCAATGCCGATTATACTTAATGACCAATGTTGTTGTCCAGGAACCAATCATGCCCGGCGCGCCGTCGAGTCAATTAGACCAAACTGAAGAGCCAGGTAACACACACACACACACACACTGGTGTGCACCCACACTTTGGAAAGTGTTTACAAAAGCACAAAATAACTTGGTTTAGAAGCTCATGAATACAGAAAAAGCACATAGGAGACAAAGTGCCTTGTGCCACAAACTGTGGCTCAAATCACTCCTCGGCTCCTGTTGATTTATGCATTTTTGAAACATTAGTGCAAGTTTTTACTTTTCAGCCCAAAATTGGTCTAAATCTTTTTAATTTCACTGTCACTTCTGCCATTATTTTGTCTTAAATTGGCTCATTTCCTGCAGCTTATGACCAATGCTCTTAAAAGACAAGGCTGCCGATTTCTTTTATTTTTGTTATTGTCAACAAATACTATCGCCAAACCAAATAAAGTAAATCTTTAAACACAGATCGCTGACATATATTTAATTTTAAAGAAAGGCTAAAAACAGGAGCGTCCTGTTAGCCGAGTGGTTGAGATGAACCAACTGCAAACGTTCCTGGTTTGATTCCAGCTGTGGAGTATCACCATGAGACTTATCGATAAAGAATACATAAAGTAACCTCAGGAGATTGTTGACATTACCACCCAGACTACAAGTTGGGTCAGCCGCATTTGAGGTTTACCTCCAGCACCAGACTTAAGTCCAGTCAGGCGGTTGAGAGGCTGACTGGAATGAGAGGGCTTAAGGTCGCTGGTTGCTGCCGTTAGTGAGGCAGTTCAAACGCTCTCCACCACAAATACTCACAGGTCGTGGGACGCCATCCCGCACACATTCGGATGCAGATATCTTTGTTTAAGTCTGTTTTGAAATGCATCTATGTAGATTATTATGATTTAAATGATCACAAGTACAAACTAAAGTTACATTATACTTATTATTTTAAATACTGTGGCATCGGTGGATATAAAAAAAATGGTATTTTCTTTACTAACCAAGCAGAGAGAAACGACTGCAGGGCTGTGAACAAAGCGTGTGACTGTCTCTCGCCTACTTTCGCTCCTCATTCTCCCATCTCTCCTATGTATTTTTTTTCTCCCCTGCCTCCCCCTCTCCTTCTGTCTGTCTGTCACTCTCTCTCCTCTCTCAGACCCTCACAATAGAGACTCCAGAGAAAGCTTGCCTTACGATGGCGAAGAGAAAGAGGTGAGAGAGAGAATCTTTTCAAACACTTTTGATGTGTGACTCATCATCTGTCAATCTGTTGCGTTGTCTAGATGTGTATATGTGTGTATATATATATATATATATATGTTATACAAATAAATACAAAAAGCGCTAATCTCTCACTCTAATCTTTAGAGTGAGAGATTAGTGCTTTTTGTGTGAGAAGATGGAGAGGGAGAATAAAATCACCTGTAATTGGAAGCAGGTTTTTTTTTTCTGCCTATTTTGCCGTTGTGTACATTTGGGTTATCCTTCTTCCACCTGCTGTGCGTGTGTGATATAGAGCACATGCAGACGTAGGCACCCTCACAGTGCTGTGGGTATTGATTTCCTTTGGTGGAGCTAATAAAGTAACGTTTTATCACAGCTCTTAACGCCCGAGGCTGATTAATGGCCAGGTATGTAATTTGGGGGGGAGGGTTGTTAGACAGAGCGGGATTGATAAAAAGGGGTCGAGTTGGACATAGATCGAGGCAGATAAGAGAGGGCAAGCCAAATGATCTTATCTACGGTTCCATGTCGACTCTAGGGAGGAGGGGGGTTGTCACGTGGAGGGGAGGTTAGATGGATACGTAGTGGAAACGGTTCACTACAGAACAGATTACAGGAGAGGAGAGAGGAAGATGGGTGAGGAAATGGTGGAGATTGTAATCGGGTTTTACAGAGAAGTGGGACTAATACAACGAGCGCGTAATCTGATGGAGGTGGCAAGATGGTATTTAATAAAGACAAGAAAGTCATTACTAAGATTCACTTTGAAGAAGTGGTGCAGTTAAAACTTAATTTACAAACCACCCAAAGGAAATCACCGTCGTGTGCAGAACCAAATCACCAGCTCTATCAATAGTTCATTAAAATTGATAAAGGCCGATGTTCTGAAAAGCTGCGTGATAAATTGTCGTCGAGTTGACTTCACATTATGTTGTTTAGGCGCGGAGCAGTAGAGACACGGGGAAGTCGCCCTCCAGCCTGGGCCTGGCAGACTTTGATCTGCTGAGGGTGATCGGCCGAGGCAGCTACGCCAAGGTGCTGCTGGTGCAGCTGAAGAAGACGGAGCGCATCTACGCCATGAAGGTGGTGAAGAAGGAGCTGGTCAATGACGACGAGGTAAACAACGGCGGTGTTTGAACTGACCGTCGGAGTCAAAACGTTGGCAGTATGACATGTTGTTGGTCGGCCTGTGCATGGACTCTGACACAAAGAGTTGGTGGGTTATGATTAAAGTGATATATTTACTTTTTATTTGGTTATAATTAGGGATTGGATTTGATAGCCGGTCATTTTGGATCCAATTCCGTGCCCAACGAATCCCATATCGAATTTCTCATTCGCAATCTCTCTTAGATATTCTCTTTTGCCTCTTTCTCACATTACAGGCGTCTGCAAGGAAAAAACAGCTGGTGAGGTATACAAACACGTGCTAACACGTGCTAACTCAGTGACACGGTTGTTAACAAGACTGACTTACTGAACATGGCGGAACGCCTCAAACCTAAAACTTAAACCATGAATATTTCATGACCTAACCATTCCAAAAAGTCAATATATTTTAACCAAAGGCAACTTTGAAATACAATATTTGCAGAAGGGGACTCACAAGTCCCATGCTTAATGTTTGTCCTTGTAGCAAAATGAAGTGAGTCGGGACATGGTTCATGAATATCACAGAGATGTGTAATATGCGGTGAAAGAGTGAACGAAAAACTAAACTCTTGCCTTCAGTGCTCTTCTTTTAAGGAAAGATTCTGGAGTTCTGATATAACTGAAACTATTGGAGCATCTACGCTAACCCTGATTGGTTCGTGCTCTGGTTTACGGGACAGAAACTCATTACTTAAAGCGTGACGAGATGGATTTTCTTGTGACGCTGCGATTCTCGTGTGATCTTGAGACAACGCAAGAATCCAGCTGCTGTGCGACGTACCTATCAAACCCCATCAGAACTGTTTTTGTACGACTTACTGACTTTTGCTTTTTTAGTATCGGTACATGCAGTTCGAAGGTATGTTTGAGAGTGAATTTAGCATTAACCAGCTCAAGATCAAAGACAAAAATCAGCCCAGTGGCTTCTCCACTGCTGAGGTTTGACCACATTTGTCAAAATAACATACAGAATTATTCATTATAATTGCTGTTTCCACTGCTGCCAGTTTAGGTGACCGCAAAAAGGACCTTTTTCCAGCTCTGCAACTAACAATTATTTTCAGTATGGATTAATTAATCGACTATTTTCTCAATTGTTTGATTGTTTTTACTTCAAAACGTTAGAAAATAGTAGAAGGAATCGTCTTCAGATATCTTGTTTTGTCCGACCAACAGTCCAAAGTCAAAATCTATTACATTTACAAAGACAGAAAACAGACAAACAGCAAATCCTCATATTGGAGTGGCTGGAATCAGATCATCATTGATATTTTTTTCTTTAAAAACAACTTACACGATTTACAAGAAAATATTTAATGATGTTAATTAACTTATCAATTAATCAACTAATCAATTCAGTTTTAGATGTTCATATGATCTTACTTATTTGTTAATAAAGTGACTTGTAACAACAACTTGTAATTCAGACGCAGCAGCCATCTTCTTTTGCCATTTAAAGGTGTATATCCACATCTCATGAGCGTAACTGTCCCTTTAAGTCCGTCCAGTGTGACAATAACACAGCGACTCCGTCTATTGAGATGTGAGAATAGTTGATAGTGAAGTCATAAGTCTTCTGTCACTGCCATGTATAATTAATGCAATTAGCACAATTGATTGGATCCGTTATTCACAGCACAGTGAGGATCTGTCCCACGTCATTGAACACCTGCCTTGGGTATCTTGTCTGAAACACTTTGAGTTTAGTTGACGGACCTCTTCCGGGCCATCAATCGTTCTAAGAAGGTGTAGATAAACCATCATGTCATCAGAAATTGATCTCGCGTGTAGCAGCACAGACGGAGGCAATGGGAGTAGTTAGCCTTGATTAGACGCACTTAGCGTGATTGACAAACTGACGAGTGCCTTTCGATCAATGTTGAAGTGTTCTGTTGTCCCTACCCTGTCAGCCCGAGCCGCATCCGTGTCCAGACATGTTATCATCCAGCCGTCGATAGAGACCCGCTTCTCCTGGCTCAGCCCTTTACGCTGCCCACCCTGGTCCGTGTCTGTACGGGAGGGTCGATCGAGCACTGTGCTTACTCGGCTTTTATAAGTTTAAGGGGTACTTTGTCACAATGATCTCTGATTTACACCTGGGGTGTGTCTTTGTGTGTTTCTCTTGCAGGACATCGACTGGGTCCAAACAGAAAAGCACGTTTTTGAGCAGGCCTCCAATCACCCCTTCCTGGTCGGCCTCCATTCCTGTTTCCAGACAGAAAGCAGGTGAGAGCATCTCTCCTGCTTGAGTCACTCAGTTTCTTCAAGGCTTCAAAATCTGTTGTTTGTCGGTGTGTCAAAAAAAACGAAACATACGAGTGTTTCCATATGACTCATGAGAGCATTTCCTCACCTGCTGCTGCTGCTGCTGCTGCTGCTGCTGCTGCTGCTGCTGCTGTGGTTACGGTCTGTTTACCAAAACCAGAGCACTTTCTTAAGGTCATGAAAAGTTTGGTCATGGGAAGATCCCCATCATGGTTGAAGGGCCTGAAAACGTGGTTTAAAATCATTAGTATTTCTGTGTAACATTCAAAATAAAGAAAAAAGTAAAAGAAAAGTTCAGAAAGAAACAATGTAGTTCATGAAATTAATATTTATCAAGAATTTAACACTCAGAAACTGCTTTACCCGGACTGTGTTGGTGTGGGTTTGATCAGGAGCGGACTGGAAAAATAATCAAAGAACCACACAACTGTCATTATTCAAAGTCCTTATTGGTGCAAAGAAGTTACACATTACACTTTTACAACTTACAAAAATCTCTTTTCACACATTTTAATTTTAAAATAATCTAAATATCTGTCATGAGCTGACTATGGCTGATAGTGCTGCACCTCTTCTTGTTGATTTGTTTTTCTTTCTTTCGTTTTTATCTATATAGATACAATTTATAAAAACAGATCTTTGGTGAAATAACTTCTGTTCATTACAGATGGTAAGAAGCTAAATGAAAACAATATAAATCTCTCTAACATTTGCTTCTTTTCACAGACTGTTCTTTGTTATTGAATATGTGAACGGTGGAGATCTAATGTTCCACATGCAGAGACAAAGGAAACTCCCAGAAGAACACGCCAGGTAGAGTCACACGTTTTCTCTCACGTCTAATTAAAAGGAATAAGATTGGTCTTTTTTTAGCCGTATGTGATTTTTTTTTTTTTTTTAATACACTCGTATCTCTCTTTCAGATTCTACTCCGCAGAGATCAGTCTGGCGCTCAACTACCTCCACGAACGGGGAATCATCTACAGAGATCTGAAGCTCGACAACGTGCTGCTGGACTCCGAAGGACACATCAAACTGACAGACTACGGCATGTGCAAGGTGTGGATTGCAGTTTACTGTGTATGAGAAATCGAGGCTCTAATGATGCCACGGTGCACTGTGGATAAAAGCACCTGCAAAGCTGCGTCAGTGTTAAGTTTACAGCCCTCTGAGAGGATCTCGCAGCTGACCCATCTTTCTGTTTTTGCAGGAGGGCTTGAGACCCGGCGATACAACAAGCACGTTCTGTGGTACACCCAATTACATCGCCCCCGAAATACTTAGAGGAGAGGATTATGGTGAGAGCTGCAACACACAATCACTTACTAGAAATGCCATCCCTTTTATCTGCTATGATGCAATATAGGAAGCATTAAGCGGTGATGTCGGGAATGCTGCTCTCTGTTGTGATTGTGGATGCTACATGGTGCAGAATACTGGAAAAGTCTTCATCAAATGAGTATACGTAGATTAACATTAGAGCAACAAAGAAACCAACAAAGTAAAAAGCTAAAGAAAATAGCCAATACATTCAAAAGGCAACAAAAGTAATCACAATGAATTGTGGCATCCTCTAAATGAATGCTGCACTTCTAAACTCATCAGTGTGTCGGTCAGAAACAAGGTGGGTAAGGATGACTAACGTGCATGAATCAGAAAAGTGTTCGTGTGTAATAGCCGTTAAGAACAAAGTTGAAGCAGAGTCTACAGAGCTGGATGGAAACGCGTCTATAAATACAATGGAAATAGATCTCCCTGGTTACCAGAAGAGGTGTCGTAGCAATAGGATCCACTGTTAAAGGATCATACTGGTGGTTTTGAACAATAGAACAAAGCCATTGTTGGTGTCATTAGTAACACTGACCGGTGAAGATGTCTGCTGTGAAAAAGACCTTCAGAAAGCTCTAACATTCAGGCAGAACTAGCAATGTTTGCTTTTAGATGAAGACAAACAACATAATTAAGCCTTATTTATTACTCGTGTGCTACTGATTTTGGGTCCTGTCTGCACAGCCGGCGACCAATTATAATTACCTTGAGACACAGAGGGTGTTCATCAACAAAATAAAAGACAAAATGAGTCCACACGTCCGGCTTTAGAAGGTTTGGAATATGCAAGGAACAATCAAAATGAAATAGTTTGGGAACGTTTTCTACATGGGCTGTGATAGTGATAGTTTTAGTGCCCAATCGGTTTTTCCATCAAGCCCTTACGCTAACAGAAATAACTTGTCAAAGCTTTTATCTTTAATTTCATGTGTCGTGACGCTCATCTTATTTTTAGCTTGTAGTTACAGGTTGTGAACATTAATTAGGCTGCCACTAAAAATCATAATTATACCGTTTCTTTCTCAGCAACACAATATTAAGCCCGTAGACATCTTTGAGTCGTAGTTCTCTAAACTAACCTTCATCTGCTGTACACTGACTATGGATACCTTATTATACCTTATTTCAATAAACTGTAGTTAAGCCCTAATTGGCTTGTTCTGAACAAACATTTAGCAGTAAAGTATGAGATTTGTTGCCGAGGGGTGAAAAGGATGCAAAAAATACTGTTTCTATGGTGTGAGTGGTTGCTATAGTAACCCTCAAATCCAGGTGGAATTTGTTAGTAATTTAAAGTATACGAGTTAATGAGAAGTGTGCTTTAACATGCACATCACTGCTAAGTTATACCTTGTTTTTGTTGCTCTATTAATGATGAATGTTTAAAGTATCAGTGTTCTATTTATTCTGGTCATAAATAGGACTTTAACTGTGTGTGTGTGTGTGTGTGTTTCTGTTTCTGTGTGTGTCTTTAGGGTTCAGTGTGGACTGGTGGGCGCTGGGCGTGCTGATGTTTGAGATGATGGCGGGCCGGTCGCCCTTCGATATTGTCGGGAGCTCTGACAACCCAGACCAGAACACAGAAGACTACCTCTTCCAAGGTAACAGGCACACACACACACACACACACACACACACAGCTAAGATTTATAACCGGAGGAAAAAAATCAGCCCAGTGGAAGCATGTAACACCTTTGTATTGACACCTTTCCAATAGCCACTTCTCCAAGTACCAGGCACATGCCATCTGTTACGGGGAAATGTGTGAATGCCGATATTTCATTGTAAATACAAAATTCAAAATGTGTCCCTGTTTTCTTATAACAGCCAGAAAAGTGTTGGATTGATGGGGATGAAAATGTGACTGAAGTCATATTTCAAGACAGTTTAATGGAAAGCCATTGACACTTCATTGAAAGGCTTCTGTATGTATGTTCAACATGAGTATACCCAACAGGATTGAACTCATAACTGCTGCAGTGTCAGTGGCGTCTTCTGTCATTTTAGACTCAAGAGACCGTCTGTCTCTTCCCCCCCCCCCCTTCTCTCACCTCCTGCAGTAATATTGGAAAAACAGATCCGAATCCCCCGCTCGTTGTCAGTCAAAGCCGCCAGCGTCCTCAAGGGCTTCCTCAACAAGGTAAGAAGGTGTCAGACAGGCCTCTATCAATCCTAAAACAGTGTTGACTCCTGCTGGCCCTTTGAAAATGTCATTATTTCGGCCTTAGTTGGAGTCAACTGCCATCTCGTTGTTCTTTTTTTCCACCCCCGTCCTTCTGTATCTCAATGTGGCTCTTGTGTATTTTCACCTATCCATAATATCCATCAACAAAATCCACTCTTCTCTTCCACCGTTCTTCCAAATTCTCTCCTTTTCCAAACCCTCTCCACCTTTCTTGCTCGTCTGATATTTTTTGCTGGTTCCTCCCCCATCATTACATACCGTCTCTCACCCTCCTCTCGCCTTCGCTCCCACAGGATCCCAAGGAGCGTCTAGGCTGCCACCCTCAGACGGGCTTTGCCGACATCATGGGCCATCCGTTCTTCAGGAACGTGGATTGGGACCTTGTGAGTCACTCTCTTTTATTCTCTCCATGTTCCCCTCTGTCTCTCCTGCTTATCTCGAGTTGCCTTGATCATCACCTTAATCGTTTCAAATGAAAGTAATCAGTTGATTATATTGAGTGTTTCAGAATCCCGTCTAGGAATCTCACTGAAAGTTAAGCTCGGACTAAAGACGCTCTGTTATTTATGAGGCTTCCTGTTCTCAGTTTCAGCATGAGTAGAAGTAATTTGTGTGAATGACGTTCCTGTTTTATGAGAGACAGAACGGTAAAATTCAACAAATGTCTGTTGCTGTCAACACATTCAAAAGACTGACAGGCTTATCCAGATATCATTTAAGTTGGGTTACAACTAGCAATTATTTTCCTTATTGATCAATCTGTTGATTCTTTGTTCGATTAGACTGTCAGACACTCCAAAACATAAAAATACATGAACAATCATTTTTTAGGGATTTCATTTTATATATATGTATGTATGTATATATATGCTGTATGTATGTATGTATATATAAGTATATAAAGAAAAGTATGTACATGTGTAAATGAACAGGCACATTTTAGTCAAATGTCTTTTACAAATGGACAGACAGACAGGGTAGCTCCACAGGGATCACCATGACCTCTTTTTCCCTGTTTGGTCTGGAGCAGCTACCCAGCAGTCGGTCAGAGTGTCTGGAGGGATCAGCTTACACCCTCCCACGTCCCTCCCTCCTCCTCATATGCGCGCACACACACATTCACGAACCTGAAAGTTAGCCCTGCAGTGCACCTATCGGCCTGCAGGCGGAGCATTCTTACAGACACATGAGGCGCTGTGAGTTTCCTCCACACTGAGATGTAATCTGAGGTGCTGAGAGCAAGTGCGTCATCAAGGATTTAGTCACTGTTTTAAATGTGTCGATGGGCTGAAGTATTAGTTAATGGAAACAGGATAGAAGTCTACGGCGGGTAGATGACCAAAGAAGGATTGTAGTGTCTTTATACTAGTGTCCTTTTTCAATGCATTTTACATATATGATGGGCCCCGATCTGCCATTTATTTTCTCTAATGACCCATTAGTTATTTAGTCCATATAAGCGTCACAATGTCCCAGAGCCTAACGTGATGCCTGCAAACAGCTTGTTCTGCCTGACCAACAGTGCAAAATCACGAGGATATTTATTGACTGTAATAAATGGCGAGGAGTGTTTGCAGATGAATTGCCTTTCGATCTGCAATCGTCAATATTACTCAGTTTAAATATTGATTTAGTGTGTTTTGGCCGATACGGTTGTTAAGTTCTCACCTGTTTCCCGTGTCGTTATTTCAGCTGGAGCAGAAGCAGGTGGTCCCTCCTTTCAAGCCCAACATCTCAGGGGAATTCGGATTGGACAACTTTGACGCCCAGTTCACCAACGAGCCCATCCAGCTCACGCCTGACGACGAGTGAGTCCCCATTTAATATCTCTTTCTTTCATTTGTTATAACAAATATAACGTGCAATTTTCACTGACCAAAAAAAAAAATTATATTTTCTTTGTCGTAGCGATGTGGTCAAGAAGATCGACCAGTCCGAGTTTGAAGGATTCGAGTACATCAACCCACTCCTGATGTCGGCGGAGGAGTGTGTGTGAGGGGGACGTGACATCTGTGCTTATACATATATACACACACACACACACACACACACACACACACACACACACTCATGCACATGTTATGTGGCGTCTCAGTGTCTTCAAGCTGCATGGTTACGAGACAACCTGGCGACATCAACCTTCTATTCGAGGGCCGCACATGCACAGTAGAACGCTTATTTGCCAAAACCAGTCTCACACTCTGCCATTTATAACCACTTGCCCTTAAGCCTACCTTCTTCTTTTTTTTTTTCATTATTTTTATATCATGTAAATCTGCACTGATATTGATTTTCTCATCGGGGCCTCTTTATCGGTAGCCATCGAGGCTACAAAGTTCTTCCACGGTCGCTGTATGTCGGGGGATGAGGCACAGCCCCCAACAGATGAACTGAACATCCTCTCCTTCCAGCTGGTGGGGTGTTTTCAATGCATATTTTATTTGTACATATATGAATCTTCTATAAATATTAGACAAGGCCTTTTTAGCTTCAAGCCACAGTCGGACAAAACTGACAACTTAATCACCTTAAAGACATTTTGGATTCAGCTTTGTCGCAACTCCCCTACTGTAGACGAAAGAAGAACCATAACACTAGCCTTTAAAAAAAAAAAGAAAAAGAAAAAAAAAAGATACAAATCTATATATTTTTCTCATGTTTTATGTAACATCATTATATATGTTGTTCTAATGTGTTGCATGTCCAGCCAGAGTAACAACCAAACGGTTCAGGCTTTGTTGTTTTTAGATGAAAACACATCTGGAAACCAGAAGGTGTCTGCTTCTAGTCCCTTCTCCCCAGAATGAAGGAACGTATTCAGCAGAATCCAACCAACGCTAACAATGAGTCGATACTCTCAAACTGTGAATGAAAGAGCCCGCTGTGCAGGGAAACGGGCCGAAAGAGAAGCACATCATACCTGAACGCTGGAGCACAGGTTACCTTTTACTGTGCAGACCATCCATGAAATATACACTCGCACACAGGACCAAAAAAAAACTTTTATTTTAAATGTCTTGCTGGTACGAATTAGAAGGTACAGTATACATGAGGAGATGTGCTGTCCCAGGTCAGAGAATTTATATATTCAGATCTTTTTTGCTCATTTTTAATACTATGCTTTTCTGAGACGAATGGTCTGTCACCTTTTCTTTCTTTTTTTTTGTACTTCATTCCATGTATGTCTTTCATTGTAAATCAAAAATACTGATTGTTGAAACGAGAGCTGGGTCAGAAGCGAGGACACGGTGCTTCCTGTAAACTGTGTCTGCTGTGCTTCATTTTTACCATATGTACCATTCCCTAAATTAGATATATTGTGCAACTGATTTAAAGTATATAAATGCTACGTAGAGCCGTTCTCTACCCCCGGACTGTAACGACACTAAGTGATGGTGAGTGAACCTCCGGACTGTGAAGCGTCTCACTTCTTGGAAACTGTTTTTGGCCTCACGTGGTGACCAGAGGAGCTCATTCATCTGTTACACATGTTACTTTAGCTGTTTTTTTTTTTGTTACTTTTTTTTGTGAATCAGATTTCATTTTGAATCTTTTTCTTTTTTTTAAAATCACTACATTGATTCCAAAATGTTACTGGGTGAACTGAATGAAAACACTATTTGTTGTGTTTTGGTGACGTTTGCCACCCAGAGGACTCTGCTGACATGTATTATTAGTGTGCAAAGAAAAAACACGGTAAAATAAACATTTTATTTCTCTCCTTGTGGTAATATGTGCTTGTGTCAGTGTGGGTCTGTCACTCACTTAAAGGGGGCACGCCGCTGATTTTACATTCAGTGCGTTCATTATGAAGAGTGCTGTTTGGCCCATTTAAACAACTGTTGAGTGTCATGATGTCATAGTGATGTCATTATGGCTATCTTGAGTTAGACTTCAGTCGTCAAATATTTGACAAGAAAAGCCCTGCCACAAACTAGGGACACAAGTTAAGAGGCTGTTGTATTGCATTGTGGGAAATGTATTTGTTGGAGCTTGACCCACACTAGGGATCAAAAGTGAGGATAGCTGCGCCAATTTTTACCGTTTATATTTTAATCTGCAACATTATGTCAGTGCAATAAATGGCTAAGTAAATTACTTTTTCTGGTTTTCCTCAATCTTTTAAATAGTGAAAACATGGTTATTTCACATTCATTGAGAGCATAAACTGTTAATGGAAATAATATTGATACCAAACCTTGCAGTGACACTCGTGTGATGAGAAGTCAACCATGAATGGCTGTATACAATTGAATGGCAGTATACAATTGAATGGCAATGCATCAGTGGTTGTCGAGACATTTAGCTAAAAATACAAAAATGTCAACCTCATGGTGGCGCTAAAGGAAAAATCGGAAGATCACCAAAATCAGTAGGCACCGAGAATATCTGCACGAAGTTTTCATGACAATCCATCCAATAGTAGATGAGATATTTCAGTCTGGACCAAAGTGGTGAATCCAAAACATAGATTATTTTAGCAATGGATGGTGCACTGTTGAGATCATGCAAACACATCGCACCATCAGGCTTGTGATGGTTTTACTGCTGGGACCAGACCTGAGCTCTCAGGCCCACATGGGCGTCTGGAGAATTAAGCTTTGAGTCGTTAAGCTTGAGCTTTTCCACTCCAGCTGCTTGTGTCTGCTCTGGTCACGTGATTCCCGCCTCGCTTTTGGAAAGCCCTCTGTGTGCCCGGCGGTTAAAAGGTCATTGACACCATTGCCCTCCCCTCTCTGCCCCTCCCACAGTGATGAAGGCTCATGGAAATGATGTCAGAAATAATAAAAACGGATTGATTTGTGTGCAGCAATAAGTTGCACAATAATGGTTAGAAACCGATTGTGTGAGGCTTATTTCATATCCTGCTCCACTAAACCCTTGTGTATTGTCTCAATTGAACCAGATTTTGTGGAAAATGACTCTCCTTGTACTACTACACGAGACAAATACAGCACTGCTGCACGCAGGGCGAGGATAAATGTCTTAGCATCATTTTGTATTCCCATGATGGGATATTTGACATTGTTCCTGTGCCCTCTCCGGCGCACAACGGGGTACGCCTCCCCAGGGACCGAGGCTCCACGTCACCCTGTGGAAGACACAGGGAAGGCTAACCTTGCATAATTAATGATGTAAAACGGAGGAGCATCTGAAAAAAAAATCCTGTTTTAATTGCTCTTATCTTGTTGGGTGTTTTATTTTGTCCCTGAAGGGATTAATTAAGCAGCAGAAGAATCATACTTGGTGCTAAATGCGATCCCTTAGTAAAACACACACTGCAATTTAAGGTGGATGGTGTTCTACTTGGCACGGTGTCCACGCTATCGCACTTAATTTACTGTTGCTCTCGACTGTAGCGCCGAGGTAATGAGTTGTCCCTCAGCATCTATAGTTAAATATACCTGTACCACCTCCTATCATGTAGCATTCTATACTGAAGTGATTGTAATGATATAGTGGAGGCATGTTGAGATATAGAAACACTTGTTTCATTAGGGGACACTTGAGATGATTCCTCACGACCACCACTTCAGACACACCTTCATACTGTATATGAATGAATGAAGGATGCACAAGTAGTAACCCTGCAGCGGTAACATACACCGACTAGAACACAAGAGAAACACATTAAACTTGAAATTCATAGGAGGAGGATCCCACTTTAGAATAAAAGAAGCTATATGTGCCACTGATTATACAAACTAAAAACTTCAAAAACAAGGACCTTGAATTAGTGATGCAATCACAGTGACAAAGGTGTCTAATATTATGTTGAATGTCAAGTAGCGGTGTCTGGAAATCCCCTGCATGATGTACACTGTATATCTGTCACATTTATGTTTTTCACTGTGGTTTCAACTGCCGATGTTTTTGTTTTTGTCCTTTTGGCATTATGATGTATTTTTGTCTGAACACTAGTATTAAGATACAGCATGTACGTTGAAGTACGGGGATCATTTTTCTGCATTGAGTTCTTTTATTTCTAATGCTTAAATCACATTCTGCCGATTACACTTACATACTTTCACTGTAAAAGTATGTAATGATATAGTGTAATGACTTGAACTGTAACAATTTCAAGGCAGATGTTTTACTTGTAACAGAGTATTTTTAGTATCTGGTTTTATTGAATACGTCCTCCACCACTGGTAACCTCTCTTCCTGTGGATAGGCCTACTGGTTATTAAGCAATCCAATTTTAGCACGACTCCAAATTAGGTCAATACATTACAAGAAAAATGCATTTCAATGTTCAGCTGAAGCAAAAGATTAAAAAAGATACAGGCACAGTACTGTCTCCCTCCCGGTACTTCTTGTATTCTACATGGACATGACAACGATTTAACCACAATCGATCCACGGTACATAAACTCAATTGCCAGTTTATCAAATCAGAGACACACACACAGAGGGCAGGACATTAGCTGACCGTCTGACACCTCAGACTTTGCGGTGAAGGTGTGTTGACCTCAGACCAGCACTTCAAGAAGCTTCATTACCCCAAATTACAGATACATCCACTGAGGAACTCGGGACATATTTCAATATCCCACATTGATTCCAGACAGGATGCATTAAAAACGACTGTGCCCCCCCGGGTCCACTTAGCACTAAGTCCAGTAACAGTTAGACAGATTCTCGGCTAATGGAGAGGCTTATCAATGTGCTTGTCTGTTACATTCTGTCTGTGAATGTCAGCTCTTTTTTCTTTTACAACGGCTCTCCACGCTACCTCATTCTTCAGATGTTTTGCTTTACCCGCAAATTAACTATCAGCGATGGTCACAATATGGCAGACATGAGATTAATTTACTCCCCGCAGTACACAGAGTGATGTTATTACAGGAAAATCAATGTCCCTCTTGTTGTTCTCTGGGGCCGGACAGCGTGTACGCACATCTGTTCTCATAATACAAACGCTGACCTTGCTGTCAAAGAGTGAGCCAGAGAGAGGCTGCGGCGAAACGGCCGACGGTGTTGTTTATCAGAGCTTTATCAAGCTTCTCTGCTCCCACGGACGTGTGACATCACACTGTGGGTCAGTCAGCCAGGCAGCTGAAAGAAACCCGGTTTATGTAGACAGAGTATGATAACCTGTAAAGATTAAGATTCCAGCCACCAACTGGAGTTGTATATGAAAAGGGAATGCAATCTCCTTCAAAAGAAAAGATTGCTATAATTCATAAAATCTAATTCCTGACATCCTCAGGCTTAGATTTCATTAACTCCCATCAGCACTAGAGGCACAATAGACTGCCTGAATGACCTCTTGACCCTTTGCAGAGGATAGGTTCACAAAGAGAGTGTGGGGGAGGTGTGGGAGAAGAAGAAACCCTTTCGCCCAGTGAGTTTGTCCTCTCTCTCATTTTCACTAACTTGATGGAAAGCCAACGAGAGAGATAAAGCTTTCTGTCATGTCGGTTGATGCAAAGGCCATGTCAATAAAACGGACCTACAACATAATTCAAACCAAAGGAACATAAAGAATGAATTTTGCAGGAGATATAACCTCAAAATACAACATATACTGTATATTGTGGGGGAAATCACGCTGAAAATAAATCATTTTTGTAATTTTTTAATCGAATTTTGTCCTTGATATAACATTTATTTTTGACTGAAATAAAAACAAACGTACAGTAAAGAACTACTATAGTGAGGACCCAATTCTGGACTCCTTTAAGAACCTTTAAAAGGCCCCGGACTACCAGATTTGGCATCCGCTGACTGCCTGCTGTTGACGTCTATCGCCACCTCTCTCTCTCGCTCTCTCCTCCTGCTGGAGGAAACAAAACTCCCAGGCTGCGCGAGACAAACAGACAGACAGGCAGACAGACAGACAGACAGACGAGAGACACCCCCGCATAGTTTCCGTCAGCCGGGTGACGTCTCCGCCTCTCAGTCCGTGTGCAGTGTGACGTTGCGCGGCTGTAGTGGAGCCTCTCGCGCTGCAGCTTGTTGACGGTCCGCGAGGCTTTTCCCATTACTGAGAAGGACCCCGCACGAGCGAGGACGACCGACACGCGCAGCTCTTTTCAGGCAAGTGTTTAGCTACTAAGAAAAAAAAAAAGATGAAGGTTTTTAAATGGACGTTTTTTTTAAAAACAGCGTGTATTAGTTGATAGCGGATCGCAGTTCGTGACGACTAAGTTAATGGTTAAGTTTGAATTCCTGTGTTCAACCGACGGAGCTTGGTGGTCGACGCTAACCTAGTTTAACGTTAGTTAGCCTGCTGTATCGCTCTATATCTGGGGTTAGCCTGCTGTAATGTTATCCTGCTTTATCGCTCAACTAGCCTGGGTTAGTATTATCGTTGGTTATCCTTATCTGCTGTGTATCACTCTCTGTGTGCCGGGTGAGCATTCTGTTTTATTATCGCTCTCATTGTGGAGGTGAACCGGGTTAAAGTTAGCCTGTTAGTCTGTGCTCTTCAGAGCCGTGTTAGCCTGCTTAATAGCCCGCTTCATAGCCCTCTATGCGGGTCAACGTCTGGCTGCTTTAGAGCCACTGTACCAGGGTAGTAAGCTGGGGGGAGCTAAACTAAGCTAGCGAAATTAATATTAATATTGAACGTTAAAAGACAACATTTCTTTATTGAATTCAAGGCGAATGTGCGCATATTTTAACGGATATGCGTTTGTTAAGACGGGTTTATTTATGACATTTTAAACTTAATGACACGCAAATGCGTATAATGTTTAATGTGTTGTTTAAAGCGAGTTGACTGTTGGGTGTAACGGCACGCTAGCGTTACCTGTGTGTTAAACAAACCCCACGGTGCCCTCACCATGTTGGTGTGTACGCGTAACGCCGGACAGACCAGACCGTAGTGCAGACAGTGAATGTCATTATCAGCGTACTGTCTGCATACCAGGGCCGTCGTGGCGAGCCAGCATAGGAGGAGGAGGAGGAGGCGAGGTATACAGTGTGCAGACGAGAGAGAGAGAGAGAGAGAGAGAGAGAGAGAATTATTTATTATACGCGGTGTCCTTGCAGCAGCAGAAAGGACACCAGAAGTGGAGGTGACATGGAGAAACATTTTCTAAATACCCTTTTTAATGCTGTGAGGTTGTTCTGAGAAATGCCACCGCGTTGTAATTCATAGCAGCAATGCGGCTGTTGTGATTTCTGACGGAAATAAACCGACCAGGTTGGAGTTTTTTTCCGCAGGAAAATGTAGACCTTCATTTATCGGTCGCTGATATGATTTTGCAGGTTTCTTTTTCCACCCTCAATTGGCCCACGGTTATATTTGCCATTAAAAACGCCCACAAACATCAACCTGCTTCGGAATCGAGCTTGAGGTTTGCACCGCTGCAGCATTTAAGTCAGTGGAGAAAAAAACAAAAACGATGGGATGCTGACATTTGCACGAGCGTGCAAATCCTTGCACCGTGGTGATTTTTATTTTTTACCGAATGTACGTTTTAGCCTCTTTTGAAAAGCCGAAATACCCATTTAGTGTAGATGAATACATAAAATGCATTTCACGACTGCGCAAATGATGCACTAAATGGTACATTTTCAAGCTGAAGTGCGTTCAATCGGCCGTCAGTCGGTGTCATATTGCTGCAGTAGCCATTATCATCTATATTGCGTTTTAAGTTGGGGGAAACCAGCTAAGAGTTGTTACCCTATTACAGTCCATTTAAGAAGTTCCGCAGTAAAGCCCGGGAGTAAAAAGGGGGAAACGAGGCTTTCCATGCTGCTGTATATCAAGCTGTGAACGGCCTGAGAAAAGGGGACGACTGCTGTTAGCGCTTTTATCAATTGTTTTTCAAAGAGCTGATGGGGTCAGCGTGGGGTAAGCAGACCAGAGGGGAAGGCACAATATGGCACTTTCATTTGCTAAGTAAAATGTTTTTCACCATTGTACCAGTTTTACATTAACAATGTAATCGAGGAAGGAGGGGCAGGGTGGTGGTGGTGGGGGGATGATTTCACTTTGGTTGTCATGTCTGGTCAACTGGTTTCGCCTGTTAAAATTCTCACTTTGTGCTGGAAAGTTTGTTTCAGAACCTTTGGTGAAACCTTAGATGAAAATTTCCACCGGGGTTCAATTACAAGGGCTGAGAAAGCCTCGTGTTAGTGTGAAGTATGGTAATGGCCATTTGGTTTAGTGGGCAGCCATTGACCTCTTTAGCCCCCATAAAACATTTGAACTCTATATGGCTATATCATGCTCCACAACAGTTATCAATGAGATTGTTTTCAGTTTGTTTATTCATCTACAGGAAGTTAATTGATTAGCTGTAGTTTAGATACTGACTATATTATTTCTCTGTTTTCTAAATCCCTGTTTTTCATATTCAGGAAGCGGATCAGAACATAGAAAACTTCCGTCATCATCATGCATGTGTCTAACTACCAGAAGATTTGTGTCATTTGAAAAGACTTGGAAGAGAAAAAAAGACTCGGAGGAGTACAAGAACTCAGTCAGCGGACAGAAACGACAATAACCCAGTGTTTAGACATGGCCAGCACCCAGACCAGTTTGAAAACCCCTTTCAAAGACTTGACCTCATTCAAGGGCAACATGAAGCGGCTGTACAGAGAGCGGCTGGAAGACGCGCCCATCAAGAAGCGAGTGATGGCGGAGATCAACCTGAAGCGTCGCAGCTTGGATTCCCTCCCCAAAACTCCAAAGGTGAAGAGGGAGCAGATCGAGGATCTGTGCCACGACCCTGACATGGATGTGGAGTGCCGGGCTGAACTGCACATGTTGGGCTCTGCTAAAGCTCTGGACCTGAGCCCCGGGCTCAAACACACGCTGGCCCAGTTCACCCTGAGCAGCCAGAGCTCACTCGGGGGCCCGGCTGCCTTTTCAGCCCGCACCGGTCACGAGCACTCCCCGGCCGGCATGCCCCCCCTGCCCTCTCCTCCTGTCCTGGGAGGGGGCCCTCTGCTGGTTCCCTGTGACAGCTCCACTGAACTCACCCACTCGCTGCTGGAGGGAGAGTCCATCTCCTGCTTCGTCGTTGGGGGAGAGAAGCGGCTTTGCCTGCCCCAGGTGCTCAACTCTGTGCTCCGCGACTTCTCGCTGCAGCAGATCAACACGGTGTGCGACGAGCTCTATGTCTACTGCTCGCGCTGCGACGCCGAGCAGCTGCATATCCTCAAGGTGCTGGGCATTCTGCCGTTCAACGCACCTTCCTGTGGCCTCATTACACTGACGGATGCACAGCGGTTGTGCAACGCTCTGCTGCGTCCAGGGGCGGCCTTGCCCGCGGACCCCAGCGGTAAGCTGCTGACCCAGGGCCTGCTGAAGGAGAGTGAAGCGAGTTTCCAGGTGGAGCACCAGTGTTTGGGGAAGTGCCAGGGTCTCTTTGTGCCCCAGTTCTACAGCCAGCCTGAGGCGCCCTGCATCCAGTGCGTCGAGTGCCAGTTGCTCTTTTCGCCACAGAAGTTTGTCATGCATTCACACAAGTCACCCGATAAGAGGACCTGCCACTGGGGCTTTGACTCAGCCAAGTGGCCCTGCTACCTGCAGCTCGCCAGGAAGTATGAAGGCATGCCCGAGGAGCCAAAGCTCAAGCAGCTCCTGGACGAGGTCAAAGAGAAGTTCCACTACCAGTTCAAGAGGTCGCAAGACAAAGTAAGTGCCCTTCTGAACGATACCTGTGTCTTTGTTTGTTTGCATGCATCAAAGTGTCATTCATCATCGTTTCTCGTAAGGAAGCCAATTAAAAAATGGTGTCCCAACATCTGACTAGAATACCTTACAGCTGCTGTTTTCTTAAACCTGTGTTGACCTAGTATGTGTTAAAGAGGCCTGGGACAGGTGGTGCCATCTGCTTGGCCAGGTCTGATCAGACGAGGTTAGGCCAGCTGGCCACAACTGAAGGGGAAGTGCATCATTTGTCCCTTCAGGTCATCCGGAGGTTACTGGGAATGTCACAGAACAAAAGGCCAATATAGGAGAACAACAAAGAGCCTCTTTAATCCCCAAACTGTATGTCGACAGTTAATAGTTGGACCTTTTTATACAACTGTAAAATTTAAAAATAACATTTACTAGTTTGCCCAAGTTAACTGAAATGTGTCCGTTAGCACGTTCCTACATGTTTTAGGAGTCTTCCAAATAATTTTGGCGGATGATTGATGATTTAGCCAATTCCTTTTATGTACATATATATCATGTCAATGCAGTATTTAAGCCACAAGGGCAGCAGGCCTATTGAAAAGTCAGCATTCAGTGGGGGGATAAGCTCCAGATTGTTTCCTTGCCATTGACTAGTTTATGTCTCGTGACCTCCCTCTGACCACAGTGGACTGCCCTTTTTCTGTTGTTTCGTGGGTTAAGGTGGGGTTGTGTTGTCTGTTTGGCATGGTTTGTTCACATCCAAATCCACCAGTTCAGATGGATTTTACTTGAAATACCGGCTTAAACCAGCAAACACATTTTGAACAGAAAGGGGCTCTACTCTACTACAACCCTTACTGGCAAGATGTATTTGTGATAGTAGTACAGAAGGCACCATATTAAGTGAGTGTGGTGTAGAGAATGTAGTGTGTATTTATAGTGTGTGTGTGTGCAGGTATACATATACACATTTCTAGAACACATGAGATAGGAATATGCTACTTTCTCTGTCTGGTTAACTTGGCGTCTGAACATGCCGGAAATACCGTCTGCGGTCTCGTCTGGCGACCTAACCGCATTCCTGTCTCGCCTCTTCCCAATTGTCGTCCTCCTCTTCCTCCACCTTGGTTTAAGGCATGCATCTGGGAAGACATAGACATTCTTTCTCAAAGGCAAGAAGTGTTTTATTACCACAGAGGAAATGCACAAACAACGATGTACACCGACCACAGACACAACACGCATGTACAAAAACAGATGCTCTAGTTGAATGATGAATACAATCCTTGGTGTGTGTTTGGTATATGTGTGAGACATTGGCAACCTCTGTGTAATCAGCTGTTAACTACTGGAGGCTAGTATGACCCATTTTTGTCTCTCGCCATCTCGCACGTTGCTCGTCTCTCAGGAGTCTCACCACAGTTTCAGGTGTTGTCTTCTCTCTCGGTTGATTTCGCAATTTTAGTTTTCTTTTCGTCGTTTCTTTTCTTTTCTTTTTCCCCTCTTACAGCTATTGATGGACTAGATTTTTATCTTCTGGTTTTTGTGAAGGTTTTGGCTCGATCAGAGTTTTGTCAAATATTAAAGCGAGACTTCAGCTACATTTGTGTGGAGAAACACAAAGTCTCAAAAGGCCAAATTCCTGGAAAGAGAGTTGCCGGTGAGTTTACATGACATTTTGGCATTAAAAGAGGATGCCACTCACCCACCGCCGCGCCTAAGCGGATGTACGGGTGTGTGAAGGGTCATTGGCCAGAGAACGAGGTGACCTGGCACTGTCCTGCTTCACTCAGTCAGGACTCTCTGTTTATATGTGTGTATTTGTGTAATGAAAGTGTGTGTTTGACTGAACAGGAAGTGAGGCAGACGGACATGTCTCTCACCCTGAACATCCTCCAGACTCTCTGTGTCCCGCCGCCTCTGCTGCTGTGGCTGCGTGACTCATACTTTCCACATCCCAATGGATGTTCGTGGAAGTCCAGCCAGGCAGCGTATAGTCACACATGCCTTTTTGGAAAGATGGCTCGCCTCCGTGTGTTGGTCTAACCCCGACTGCAGATCCTTTTCCCAATGGCCCTTATTTACACACAGTGTCTATGTTCATATTTACAAGAGGTTCTTAGTTTTACTGGAGAGCTCTGGGACCTCCTAAAAGAGAAGAGACACAAACAAGGGAGCCCTCTGGAAGTTTTCTTTTCCCCCCCTACCTTCTCCAATGGCTACTGGTCCCATATCCTGTTTGGAGTGTTTGGTTTGAGAAGGTGCAGTTAAAAAGTCTAGGACTTGCTCTCTATAAATGGCGCTTTGTGCCTCGAGGCACTGCACCATGTCTACTGATTCCTGCTGTGTAAATAGAGTTTGCTAGACAGACGCCACCAACAGACAGCAACAAGGTGAGCCTTATCTCCAGAGTTAAATTAGTATCTGACAAACAATGAGTTCATTCTGCCTTTAGGGGATGTAATAGACACGTGTACGTCCCACTGAGACAAGATCATGTGTCATCCTTTTTATTGGGTGGATTTCTTTTTTACCTCGCTCGGCGGAAAGTAACAGAAATTGTAACATCAGGCTTGACCGAAACATTGACTTCTTAACTTTGTAAAAACATTATATAACTAATAAATACATAGATATAAGTCGTGTAACGGACCACTGTTGATCGGTACGGATCCCCCCTCACGGTTTGGCAAAAAATATAACGAATAAATCCAGGGTAAATTATAACGTTATCATGATGTGTTCACATGTAATCTCCTAAAATGTAGTGTTGGTGAGAAACTTGAATAGATCCAGTTGTTTAAAGGAGATGTTTTCAATACGACATGAATATATATTAGAGAGGGAATTATGAGCTGTTAACACGACCTCTAGCAGCTTATAATAAATCATTAAAACTACTAATGACAAGATTTTTTTTAATACATACAAATTCAATCTTTTATTTCCTTATCATTTGAATTGTGTGTTTTTTATGAGGAAAAAAAACACTATAGGTGACTATCACAAAGTGAACACCTATTTATATTTCTAAAGTAGAAAGAATATGCTGTTTTGAAATGGGAACAAATATTTTAGACATTTTTCTCCCACCCGAGCGAGCATAACCCCAGAGGAACACAGTGAACATAGCTGTGTGTTGCTTGCTTGCTTCCGCCTCGTTTGTGGCGGAGTGCTGGCCCAGAGTCGAGTCAGAAGTGTCAGGAGAGAACAGCCTTCCTCCGTCTGTCTCGCTGACACGGCTGCGGCACAGACGGCAGACAGCTGCATCTTTCTGGCTTCCTCTATTTGCTATTTGGAAACCAGTGACTTCATTACCGCAGACCAGTGCAGCTGCACTCTGTGGCTGTCTCCTGGGCTGTCTGCGCCGTCTCTCTGTCTGCTTGTCACTCATTCTCCTGGGCTGTATCTAATTGGATTTTGGTGGGGCACGCCAGTCGCACACTGTGCTGCCTTTGCTATCGCGTTCTCCTTCCTCTACCTCCCCCACTACCATGATGTCAATCTGCCTTCTTCCGTCCTCACCCATCTTGACTTGTGGCCTTCAATACCCCCTGGGCCCCAATCAGCGAGCAGCAACAATATAAGCAGCCAAATTACCCGATAAGTCAATCGTTGCATAAGCAATAAGACCACTTGTGTGCGTCTGCGACGCGGATGAGAGGAAAACCAGTGGCTATTGATCAGGTCTCCGACCATGATGGATGTGGTGAGTTGTCGGGTGATTTGGACACTGAATAGAGGGGACGACGGACCAAGAGTGAGGCAAGGCGAAACGGAAGAAGAGTGAAATGAGAAGACTCGGTTACGCAGCTGGTGTTGCACAAGTTTCCTATCTGTGTTCAGACGTGTGCATCAGTTTCCCCGAGTTAACCTCACCTCTGATTCCGCCTGCCTCAATTTTTGCAACTCGGACACCCTGCCAGACAGAAGTACCATCACGTAGACACGTAAAGGGTATCTGTGGTCAGAAAACGCACCACAAGACACTTGAGCGAGTGAGGTAAGGGCGGAGAAGAGAAGTTAAGAGTACGAAATTAAAGAAGATGAGAGGGTAAGGCCGAGGAGGGGTAGGTCTAGCTGTTGTGTCGGTCACAAACTGCTCTGCACTTTGGTCGTCTTCCATGAAACAAGCTGTGTCTACAGCCATTAGGTTGTCACAGGGCGCCTCGGCCCCAGATCTTCTTTCCACAAGTTGAAAACTATACTCTCCCAGACCTGAGCTGAACCACAAATCTAGCTTGGAGCAGCCCTCTTGGTTGGCCAATGACGTGCTAGCTACCTCGCATTCCCCTCAGCTAACACTCTCCTTTGACCC